TATTTTAAAATATAAAAATTACATGTAGAAGGAATAAGATTGTGCTTTTAGAAGAATTATTTACTTGCCATACTATTTTACATAAAATAGAAATGACTAAGTTTATTTATTAATTCCCACTGAAATATTTAAATAAATGATCTTCATGAATGCTATATAGAGGCAGAAAAGCCCAGGGATCCAAAGCAATCCAGGACAGAAAGAATACTGTGGGTGGTATCATCATACCTGATATTTAAATTATACTACAGAGCCATAGTAATAAAAACAGCATGGTAATGGGACAAAAACAGACACAACATTGGAATAGAACAAGGGTCTGGATATAACTTCATTTGACTATAGATACCTGATCTTTGACAAAGATACCAAAAATAAACATGGGAGAAAAGGTGGCATTTTTAACAAATGGTGCTGGGAAACCTGATGTTGACATGCAGGAAAATGAAATTAGATCCTCACCTCTCACTCTGCACAAAACTCAACTGCAAATGGATCAATGACCTCAGCTTAAAACCTGATATCCTGAAACTGCTGGAGGAAAAAAGTGGGCGGTACATTCCAATACAAGCACAGGAAAGGCTTCTGAGGAGGGCTCCAATAGCACAGGAAAGACTAGCAGCTGACAAGTGGAACGCGATACAACGGAGAAGCTCACAAATAGCAAAGGAAATGGGCAAGGGAAGGAGACAGCACACAGAAAAGGGAAAGTCTTCTCCAACTACACATGAGAGAGAATAGCATCAATAATGTACAAGGAGCTCAACAAAGCAAACATCAAGAAAATCTAATTTAAAAATGGGGTATGGAACTGAACAGAAAATTCTCAGAAGAAACACAAATAAACATTTATAAAAGAAAGTCCAGCATCCTTAGATAACAAGGAAGTACAGATTCATCTATTCTAAGATTCTCTCTCAATCCAGTCAGAATGTCCATTATCAGGGATACAAATGATAACAAATGTTGGAGTGGACATGGGGAAAGGGGTACCTTTATACACTGTTGGTGAGAGGGAGAACTAGTGTAGCCACTGTGAAAATCAGTCTGAAGGCTTCTCAAAGAACTAGGAATAGAATTGACCACTCCTGGATATATAGTCACAGCACTTTATATCTTACAAGAGAGATACTTGAATATCCATGTTCATTGCTGCTCTATTCACAATAGCTAAGAAATGGACTCAACCTAGACATCCGTCGACTGATGAATGGATAATGAAAATGTGGTGCATTCATACAATGAAATATTACTCAGCTGTATAGAAAAATAAAATTATGAAATTTTCAGGGAAATGGGTGGAACTGGGAAAAATTATAGTGAGTGAGGTCACCTAGGCCCCAAAAGACAAACACTGCAAACTTTCTCTCCTATGTGGGTTTAGCTAAACACTTCTGTGTGATTAACCCAAAGTACATGTGGAAGCCAGGAAATCAGAAATGGGTCATTTGGAGGATACACTTAAGGAGGGGTGGTAGAATATAGGTGAAATGAAATCAAAGGAAGGGGGTCCTTGGGGTAGAAGGGTTCAAGTAGGAGAGATGGAGATGCGGAAATGGGGGGCAGGGGCAGGGTTAAACAAAAAGGAAGGGTGCATGAAGAAGTCACATAGGAACCTATAGTCTTACAACCCAAGCAGAAAGTCTAAGAGAGGATAGTAGAGGATGTCTGAGGGGAAAGAACCTGGGGCAGGAGGGGGGGGGTGAAATGCCAGATCTGAAGTTTTAAGCAGGGAAAGAGATAAGAGGCTGAGGGAAAGGAGGGAACAGTGTGGGTTAATCAAAAATAAGCATGTATGAAGAAGCATTATGAAAAGCCACTAGTTTGTAAGACAATTAAGAATATAAAAACAGTAACAGGAAGCAGAAGAAATTTGAACAGAGTTGCCCCAGATGAACGAAAAATGCTGCTCCTAGAAGACACAGGTTACCAACCAAAATCTCGGTACCAGGCATGGGACCCCTCCTATGAGTTACTGGTCAGAACGGCCACAGAGGACCCAAATCAACACAGGCTATTGCCATTGTTTTTGGTTTCACACCACAACTAGATGGTCAGACCCTACTGCTGAAGACACTTTGGATGTAAGACACAGGGAATTCAACCTCAACTGACGAGCGAAGTCTTCCTGCTGGCCAGCTTTCATAGTGCTGGCAGGTGCTGTGCAGCTGCTGGGGGAGAGAAGATGTCAATGATCTGACCCAGTAGTAAACTGTGCATCCTACAGTTCTGACCTACCAGGTCAGATGTTTTCACTGGTTCAAGAGTGGCAAGCCTGTTTATGCAAGTAACCAACTGCTCTCTTGACTGAATTTGAAGCTTGCTCCACAGGAGGGGATTCATGTCTGATAGTGTAAACATGATCAAAGCCCCATGGTTAGGGGAAACAGACCCAAGGGGGAACATTTTGAGGTTTTATTAAACGGTTATGCTGTCAAACTGCCTTTTACATATTTATGTTTATACCTGTATATTTGTGCTGCTCTTAACATTGAACTGAAAAGATTTTCGTTGCAGTGATTAGTACCTAATATAGAGACTCATGACTTTTCATAATTCTGAGAAATGACAGCGAGTGCTGAGTCATAGATAGGACATCTGTCTCATCCTTCCCTCAAAGCCCAGGAATATCCCAGAAGAGGGGGCAGAAAGAATGTAAGAGCCAGAGGATGAGGAAGCATGCTGTGAAATGCTGTCTTCAGGGCATGACATGGCTGTTGCACACATGAACTCATAGCAACTGTGGCCATGTGCCCAAGATCAAGGCAGTTAGAACTTCAAGCATGGAGGCATGAGCAGCTTCCAAAGCCATCCCTAACTGAGGAGCTACTGGTAGTTAATGGCTGGAATGGAGGGACAGTCACATTTCTTCAAAGAGTGACAGTGGCAGGTTGGCCATGCTGCAGTGGATAACCCCGCAGCCATGCATATATGGGCAGCACTGACTGGACTCAGTAGGTTATAAAAAAGGACTTAAAGCTGGAAGGAAGATATATTGGGGAAAGTGACAGGGATATTTTATTAGATTAAAAGAAAACGGAGGTAACTTTGGACTATTTTTAAATTTCTTAAAAATGGAATAATCCTTTAGCGTATTTAAGAGTTAAAAAATCATATTTCTTACACTTGGCCAGTACAGAGATTACCCAAGATTCCTTACTACTAGACTGTGCCAAAGATATATATTTTGGAGAGAAAGTGTGCTCTCCAGGCCAAGCACTAAGCAAAGCTCTGCAGACCTTCACTCATTCCCAGCTGGCCTTCATAAGAAATAGGAATTCCTAAATTAAGGAAAAATTATCACTGGCAGGCCTCAAAAATTTTCATCCACCAATATAATAGACAACGTTAGAGAACATGATGTAATCTGTAATGGTGAGTGCCAATCCATAACAAGGTTAGCAGCACCGTCTCAGGAAATTTGTCTTTGGGAATAAATGAGATATTCCAAAGTGGTTTAACAAGAGTGAAGTGGCATTCGCAGTGGGGAGGAGATGGGGGGTAGACAGAGGGAACCTGGCGGAGGGGAGGGGGGGCTGGACGGCAACTTCCCTGGAAATTATTAGAGCAGCATTCCTAGTCCTTTATGTCCATGCTTGGCAGTTCCATCTTTCAGCTTTTCAGTAAAGTGAGGGTGAAACAAGCATACTTAAGAACAAAAGCTGGGTTTGTTTAAGATGTGCTGCTTATTTTGGTCAGTGTTTTGGTGTCTTTTTACAACAGCTTGCTGGCCTTATTTAACACATGTATTTGGAAATGAATCCATTACTAGAGATCAGACACTTGAGGCTCTCTCTCTCTCTCTCTCTCTCTCTCTCTCTCTCTCTCTCTCCCCTCCCGCTTCCTTACCCTTTTCCTAATATTTTACTATTATGGGACCTTTAATTCAAATGTTTATGCACAGTTATAGCAAATCATGAAAATGTATGTGGCAAGATTGAATAAATTGCTTAAGAGTGATTTAAGAGACTTGACTAGGATGTGAAAGGGCTGCCACCGCAAAAATTAAATCAAGAATACACTGATCAACACAGCAGTAGAAGAAAATAAGAACACATTACAAAGCAACTAACTGACATAAGCCTCAGGTACATTGGTAATTTTGCCAGATCATAGCCCAGAATCCATGGGTCTTACACAGGTTAAAACAGCAACACAAGACCTATATCTAGATAATTCTGTTTCATCACCATAATTCCAGGGATATATCTCCCCACATAGAGAACTCGTGCAATGACACTCATCCAATTTCCTTTTGAAATGAGGTACTTTCAAGGTCTAGTTCAACAG